TCTGTCTGTCCTCCGTCCGTCGGGGGTGAGAGTGCTCTTGGCACGGACGTCCTTGAGGACAGGCAGGAGGATCTTGAGTGTCTTGCTGCCGCTGCGCCTCATCGTGTCCATGCTGCTTGCCCCTGAGGGAGACCCGGATGCTCCAGACATCCCGACTCCACGATCGTACGCTGAGGCGATCGAGGGTCCCTACTCCTCTCAGTGGCAAACAGCCATGGACGCAGAGATGGCATCCTGGAAGTCCACTGGCACTTACGTCGACGAGGTTCCCCCTCCTGGGGCGAACATCGTCAGTGAAGTGTCAGGGCGCAGAAACAGCGACGGGTCAGCAGTAGAAGGCGCGAACCCAAGAGCCGCAAGCGTAGTCCTCAGTGTGTCGTGCCACTCACGTGGCGCCTGGCGGAGACCGTAGACCGGCCGCCGGAGGCTCCACTCGGTACCAGGAGGGAACGACCCAGTGAAGCCAGGTGGGCGGCGCAGCCAGATCTCCTCGTGCAGGCTGCCGTGCAAGAAAGCTGTGTTGAAGTCAAGAGAGTGAAGCTCGTAGTCACGCTGAGCGGCAACGTGCAGCAGCACCCGAAGAGTGGTCATCTTCGGGGTGGGGGAGAAGGTCCGAAAGAAGTCTACTCCCTCTCGCTGACTGAAGCTTCGAGCAACGTAACAAGCCTTGAAGACAGGCGGAGAACCTGGCTGCCGCTTTACCCTGAAAATCCACATGCCACTGCCGCCGTTCTACATCCTCGTGTACGTCGGCGACTTGGTCTTTGCCACTGCTGACACTGAGGCTCTCACTCTGGTGAAGTCGGAGCTGCAGAAGAGACACACATGCACAGACCTGGGTGAGCTGCGCAGTTACCTTGGCTTGCAGATCACCCGGGACAGAGCACGCCGCACCATCACCCTGACTCAGTCACACATGGTGCAGCAGGTCCTTCAGCGCTTCGGCTTCACCTGGTACTCGGCACAGGCCACTCCTCTGGCTACAGGTCACTCGCTCTCAGCTCCACCTTCGGACGAGTCCGTAGAGCCGAGTGGTCCTTACCCAGAGCTAGTTGGCTGCCTCATGTACCTGATGACCTGCACTCGTCCGGACCTCGCGTACCCTCTTGGCCTTCTGGCTCGCTACGTGGCTCCTGGTCAGCACCGAAAGGTGCACATGGATGCTGCAAAGAGGGTACTGCGTTACTTGTGCAGTACATCAGGCATGGGGCTTGTGCTTGGAGGGCGGAGTGAGGTGGTCCTCACTGGTCACTCGGACGCTTCTTGGGTTGACGACCAGGCTACTCAGCGGTCGTCACAGGGTTACACCTTCAGCCTTGGCTCTGGTTCAGGTTCCTGGCGTTCTACACGCTCGTCTTCTGTTCTCGGCTCCAGTTGTGAGGCTGAGATCTACGCCACAGCCATGGTTGCACAGGAGTTACGCTAGCTCACCTACCTGCTGACCAACCTGGGAGAGCGGCCTCGTTCTCCTCCAGTGCTGTTCGTCGATAACAAGGCCGCCATTGCCTTGTGTCAGGAGCATAGACTGGAGCACAGAACGAAGTACATCGCTCTGCGTTACTTCCTGGCTCGAGAGTTGCAGCAGCGTGGTCAGCTTCGTCTTGCCTACGTGGCCACTCGGGCCAACACTGCTGATATATTCACCAAGGCACTTCCGCCTGGTGATCATCAGCGCTTTTGTACCTTGTTGGGCCTTGTGCCCACGTTTCCTCACTTGCTGTAGACTCTGCTTCTCTTGTGATATATATATATATATATATATACTTGCTTGTTTGTTCTGCTAGGTAGAGATCACTGTACTACTGTTGTTGCATATTTATCTCTGCATGCGAACTGGCCTTGTGGCCCTTTGCTTGTGCTCAGAGTGTGGTGACGTTGTGATCCACCCTGAGCTTGCTTTGCCTCTCTTGACTGGTCTTGTGACCCCTTGCTCTCCCCCACTTTGCCGATGGGGGTGTGTCAAACTATTATAATGCTTGTGCTGTGTAGGCTGTAGTGGGGTAGCCAATAAGGGGTAAAACCGAAATTAGGGTTAGCATATGAACCCACTTCTCTGATCAATGCATTCATTCCTGCCTATCATTCTGACAATACCCAGCCTGTAAGAAATGCAAATTGCTTATTCGTGAACTTGTGCCTGCGGAAATTGTTTCGCGAGCAGGGGAAGACTGGTTGGTTGGCTTGGCTAATGGTGCAGCCTGCGATGTGAGCCACGATAAATTTGTTGTCAATCCAATCCTATTGTAGGTCTTACGAATGACCACACCACTTATCGGTACCACATTTCAAAATAATAGATTCATATAATTTCCAAAGAAATACACCAGTATCTACCGGTAAGACCCATAGGAGACATAGTGCTCCTTGGGGTTTGTGGCAAGCACGATGCTGTGACAGAGCAGGGGTGAACCAGAAAGAAGAGGGACAATGCCTCAGTTGGTTTCCCCTCACTCCCATCCTTGCCTATGAAGCATACAATGAGGGGCATATGGATGAACCATCATTGAACTGATGGGGAAGTAAGAGGGGACGGGGCAGCAGGAGATGCAGGGTGACAATGGCTGTGAACGAATATTGCAGGTGATGCAGCAGGGGGAAGGCAAGCGGCAGGAAGGAAGTAAAAGGGACACATGGATATTCTCTTGCGGGTGCCAAGTAGGTGACAAAGGCTACGAAATCATCTCGGGGATTATGCTGGGACAGAGCGAAGGTTGGCAAGGCGTGAAGGGCAGACAATTGGATGTGGTACGGGCAGGAAAGTGCTTCTTGGGAATAGTATAGTAGAAAGCGCAGGATAAAACGAGATATGGGATGAGGAATGGATACATAGCTGTCCCGTGGTATCTTCTTCTCTGGCTAGAACACACAAAGATAGCATCACATGGCTCACAAAGACACACTGCAAACACACAATGTTGATTCCGGCCATTCCAGTCCAGCCAGGTTCGGCCCGAACCCCAACTACCAACTCCCCCAGCTTACAATCCCCACCAGCCCCACCTCCCTGCATGCAATACCATCATGGGAAGGCGGCTGCTAGAAGCAGCTGCACTGAAATACGGAAAGGGAAAGATAAGGTGGGGCAGGGCAATGCAAGAAATCTATTTCTTACGAGGAAAGAGCGGAGGGGGTGGTGGAGAGGGGGGGGAGAGAATTGGGTGACAGCAGGCGGTCAAGGTGCAGGTGATGTGGGAGAGAGCGAGAGGTGGTGCCTGAGGGTGTGATGGCTATGGTGCTGCTGATTCGCTGGGATGGTGGGGAGCACATGGGAGGGTGATGGCGGGCAGAGGGGGAGCACCTGAGATGGGGACAGCTGGTTTATGTAGAGGGTGAATGGGGTCAATGAGGTTTACAAGGATGAATGACAACAAGGAGAAGGAAGATGAATGACAGTGCGCTGGGGTAGAGTGACGGGCACGACCGTTTGAATGAGCTGTATCTCATACGACTACACTATGACCGTCTGCTGACAGTAGAGGGGGACAAAGAGGGAGGAAATGGAGGATGGAGGAACGGGAGGGGGAGGAAAGAAAAGAAAGGGGATGGGAGGTCGAAAGGATTTGTACGACACCTGACATGATCGCTCAGGAGGGTGGTCAGCTGCTTGTGCCGATTCATCCTCATTGTGCCTTGTCAACCCATATCGAACCGGCCCGGCTTTGACTCGGGCCGAACGAACCGGCCCGGGTTGAACGGGTTTGACACACTTACCTGGGACGAACTCAACCAATTCTGCAGGTTTGACACACGAGTGGGACGAACCCGAGGCGGGTCATCACCATCAGTTTGCTGCAAAACTCTTGCAGAGACACACACAACCCGAGCCGTGCGAACACATTCTGAGAGGCAAAAGAGGGAGGTTAGAGCTCATTCTGGAGCTCCAACTTGAGCTTACTAGTTCTTCCTGCTCCCCTCCTCTGCTCTAGCACCTTCTCTAACACTTTAGCGTCCATTTCATTTCTTTTTTAACATGGCCGATAACACTTTCAGATTGGGCAGAACTCCAGCCGCCCCGATCCAAATCAAACCATGTGCCGACCACATTCAGCCGACCAGATTGGTCAGGCCAAGAGCCAGCCAGGATTGATAAATTCCGGGTCGGGTGGGTTCGGGTTCAGCCCCACTTGGTGTCTGACCATCCTCGTTTGACATAGGCAGGTGTGGGTAAGACCCTTTCTTACCAGTAAGGAGTACAAGAAGAGTCAAGACCACGAAATGGGCTGCTGGATTACGGGAGAAGAGAATTGAAATTGGGGAGGGGGGTTGGGTACGGGGAGAGGGGGGATGGAAGGAGGTTTGCAAAAATATTGCAAAACTCCGTGCAAGTCAATCTCTTCTGTAGCGACACCCCGGTCCCCCCAACCCTCTCCCGTTCCACCTCGCCCTGGCAACCCTGAATCCTTTGCAAGCGCGAAGTCACCACATCCTCCTCCACCCTCTCTCTCCGGCTCCACGTCGCCTCCCTGCGCATCCCACACCCTTCCTAATCCTTTCTGCCGCCACGGCAATTCCCCCAACAATGCCAAATGCAACAGCGAGAACCTCCAATTCCACCATTTGTTTCTTTAAAACTGGTGGAACTTGGATGGGGAAGGGGAGGATCAAGGTGGAACCATTCCACCTTCCAAGTGCTATTTTCAATCGTGAGGTTTACTCAGGCTTGGTCGAGTTGTTATTTGACACAAAAAAGGGGGGGGGAAGGATGTGGGGGCGAATGGGGGAGTTGGTGTGAGAGTTAGGGACGTCGGGGGAGGGAGGGTGAGTGGCGGAGAGCTGATGGCATCACACCCGGGAAAGCAGTGCACTTTCGTTCAAAAGGGGATCCCTCCAAAGTGTTCTAGGCACGAGGCTTATTGAAAGCCTCCATGCCTGACTGCCTCATTGAGAGCCACGCTGCCCTGTCTCTGGTCTGGAGCACCGCTCTGCTGCTGCTGCTCTCAAGGCGGACGTGCCCCATCACCACGCTTATGCTGTGACTGCACTCCACGCTGCTGCCCACCATGCCACCGTCACTGCCGGTGCTACCATGGTGCCAGTGCTGTGGGAAGCCCAGGGAGGAGGAGGCATCAGTGAGTGGGAATGGCATCAGCTGCCAGCAGCAGTGCGCCATATCCATGCTCGCGCTCCTCCCGCCAATGCTGCCAGTGCTGCGTGTGCTGCCTGATCCTGTTGCTGGCCGCCGCACTCCCTCCATGCCTGACCCTGTCTCTCCGCCCCTGCTTTCCCACCTTCTCCGCTCATGTTCGAATCAATCAAATTGCCGCTCATGCTCCCCCCCATGTTCTGACCCAAGGTCCCCCAAACCCCCCTTTCCCCCCCCACCCCTTCCCATGCTCCCACCTGCGCTCCCGCCTGTATTTCCGCCTCTGCTCCCGCCCATGCTGCCCCCAAGTCGTCCCTTCGGGGCTGTTCAGCAGAGGAGCTGGTGCTGCTTTTGCGGGTGAGGCGTGCAGAGGAGGGGCTGGGGCGAAGGGCCTGGCACGGGCAGTGGAGGGAGAAAGAAGAGAGGCGAGGAGCCGGTGGGACGAATGTGAGAAGCAGACAAGTGGTGTCGGATGGCATGTCATGGGGGACAGTCACTGCGGGCACGCATACCGAAACATACCCAAGGAGCAAGGGGGAGGGCGGCCGCTCTGAAGCAACGTGCTGGACACAACCCCTGCCACCATCTGCGCCACCACAGCCGCCGCCACTATGCGTGTTCCCCTCGCCCAACACCCCTGCTACCCCCTCCCACGTTACCTGGCTATCGCTCTTCTCTCTTCCTACCCTTCCTTCACCCTGCCGCTCCACTGCGCCGGCCGCCCGTCTGCCCATGGTGCTTGCAAGCCCAGGCGAAACAGCCCCGAGAAGGAGCAGTCAGCGGGTGCGGGTGCTGCGAGACGGTGGCACGGATTGGCGTGGCAGGGAGAGCAAGGAGCACGACAGGCGGCTGAGATGACACCGAAGCGACAGGAATGGGGGGGAGGAGAGACACGGGGAAAGCGAGAGGAAGGGCAAGGAAGAGGGGAGGGAAGGAGACGGAAAACGAGATGAGGGTAGTGGGGGCGGGGGGAGGGGTAGGCGGGGAGCGGGGAGGTGAGGGGCGACGGAATACCGTGGCTTGCGCTGACGGAGTGAGACTGGTGCGGGGGAACGGACAGGGACAGGGACAGGGGCGCGGAATCCACCTTCCCCAACAGCGACTGCGTCAGCCGTGAATCCACCTCCGCCGCTTCCTCCCATGCCTCTCCACCGCCGCTCAGTCCCCGCAACACACCCTGCCTTTGCTCACGCTCCCCCGTACTCTGCCTCTGCTGCACCCTTGCTGCTACCACCATGGCTGCAGCTGCTGCTCCATTCCAGGCGGCGACCACCCTGCAGCTGCATTGGCCCCGACAGTGCGCCCACTGTTGACTGCCCAGCTCTGCCCCGCCTGTCTCACTATTCCACCCTCGCCAGCCTGCTCCGCACCCGAACCCTGGCAAACACATCCCGCGCCCTTCCCTCTTCCGCGTCCCTGCCACTTCGCCGGCATCACCGCACGCACTCTGCTATCGGCGCAGCCGCCAGTGGGCGCGCCCCTCGAGCAAGTTCCCTGCGAACGTCTACCTGTCTGCTAACACGCGTCCTTGGACAGGTTGTTCCCGCCCGCCACTACGAGAAGCGGCGCCATCGAGCGCTCCTCCCCACCCACAGTGCTGCAGCGGAATGGCGGGGCTCCGCCCCTCTCCTCCCACGGCACTGCAGCGGCATGGTGGGGCTCTGCGCGTGCCACTGCGCTTCTCCGCCCTGGCCCCCCCCCAAGCGCCCTGTCATCGCCTTCCCCCTGCCCCACCCTGTCACCGCCGACCTCACCTCTCATCACCACCGCCCGCTTCTCCTGCGCCCCTCGCACACGCTTGTAGGAAGCAATCTCCCACACTGACCCTGAGCAGCTTCCGCCTGCTTCTCTCCCCACTCATGGCGCCTATCACTGGCTTTGCCGCATTGTATGCCCTTGTGTTGTTGGCTACAGTGGGCGAGCCTGTGTGATGGTGGCAGGCGGAAAACTACCACTGCGAGCTCCCCACCGCTGTCCCCCCTCCTCGGCCAGCACGACACGTGCAGCACGACACGTGCAGCACCAGCAGCACCAGCGCCACCACTTCCGTCACCACTACTACACCGCAACCACCAGCAACACTACCACCAACATCGCCGCCAGCAGCTGCCGTGGTGTGAGACAGCGACAGGAAGAGGTCGCCGTGGAAGGCACTGAGACCTGCCGCCGCCGTGAACCCTTCTCACCTGCCGCTGCCATCGTGCAGGCCTGGTCTCACCCGTCCCCCTTCTCAGACTGCCCCCCTGCTGCTCACCCCCACACGTACGCCCATGGGGCTGATGGCGCACGGAGGCGGTCATGGGGAGCGCGCATTGCGCAGGCAGTAGCGCACGGATCAGCGCAGCCGGGGGGGGAGGGCTGGAGGGCTGCGCGGGGGCGACTCTGCTACCTGAGAATTCTAGCAACCAGCGGATTCAGCGGAAGATTTAGCGGTGGAGTCCGCAGGGTGGGATGCGGTGAAGGGGTTGGATGGCAGGTACACACGCGCGGCGACGAAGCGGTGCGGGCGCACTACAGACACTGCTGCTGATGTGGCAATCGCGAGCGGCCAGATGATGATGTCCGATGATACGCAGATGCGATAAGGGCGGGGACTATAACGGCGCATCAACGGAAGCATCGGCGAAAAGAGGAAAGTGAGGGTAGTTCCGACATGCAAGCCGAATAGAATGGAATGACAGGACCGGCCTTACCGCAGGCCTGTTGCTAGGAATTCGCAGATTGAATGTAACAAGCGTGGTGAGGCTATCACGAAGGGCGTGGACACTTAAACCTGAACCTCGCAATGGGCGCCGAACACTTCAAACGATCCGAATGCGCAATAGTTGTGAGCTTCACTCGATAAAATAAGATGCCACTTATGAAGTGAGGCAGAGGCCAAACGACGCATGCTGTCGCTGAGCGACTCTTGGAGGGGGCAAACTGTAACTCGCCAATTTCGACATGGTGCATGGCGACGTGACTCTGCGAAATGGCGGCGTGAGAAGGCGAAATGGCGATGTGACTAGGCAAATCGGAGGTGCGACGTGGCGAAATGGCGGCGCGACATGGCGAAACGGGGGCGTGACACAGCGGAATGGCCGTGACATCTCGAAAATGGTGGCGCGACAAGGCCAACGGCGGCGAAATGATGGCGATACATCAGCACACTCAGTCAGGCGACAGGAATGGACTAAACGGACCTTGGGAGGGGGTCAGTAGTCACACTGCGGACTGCACGGAGAGCATAAGCGCGCCGAGCCTATAGCTCAAAGCACCCATCACGACGACTGAACCTGATAGAACCGACGGCGACGCACAGCGAGCAATTTTTAGGCGCCTACAAAATATACCGACAACGCACAGCAGAGCCTACTAAGCCTCGAACATGAAAAAAGCTCGAACGCGAGTGGATGGATTCTAGCTAGCTTTCCGCTTGATCATCGGCTCCCAAAGACGATATAGGAGAGAGCGGGTTTTAGGGCGCGTAACCATTTTGCACCCGACGGTTCGAACCGTGGACCGTCCGGGTGGCGAAGTGGTAACAGATTTCGCGCAATGTCGTGATTGTGTTCGCTAAGGTGTCGGCGACATCGCCAACAAAACGGACAGTCGTGACACCATTTTCCATTTTATACGGTCCGAAGTCTGAACCGTGGACAGTCCGAATCTCAAACGGACTGTCCGAATTTCCTTGCATCCGATTGGTGAACGATGTAAAAAATCTCTGGCATCTCGTCCACCAACAAAAACATGTGGTGGGATTTCGCAAATTTACATTGACCAACCAGAGACTACTCGCTTAGAACAATGATTCGAGAACGAACTACACGAAAATCGTAAATCGCGTAACGCTTCTACAATTGTCGCGAAGCTGTACAATAGAAGAAAAGTGTCACAACTGCGTTCGGACAGTCCGAAGTTGCAAATTTTCACTTCGGACGGTCCCGTTTTCAGTAAGTGGACCGTCCGCTTCGTTTTAAGCGGACTGTCCGTCAAAATCCAAAAATGCAAAATGGTTACGCGCCCTTATTGTTATCTGGTTCGCCCTGGTAGAAGCAATCATTATAGGGTTACAGACTTCATTCATGTCGTTACTGCATGTGCGATGCTCCGAAAGTTGCGAGGTTCCGAACCGAGTTCACAAAAAGCTAGCTACAGGCTGACACAGCTGCTCCGGCTTTGCCGTGCCGAAGCAAAGGATGTTCGTTTGGTTTTGGTTTGGGACACTTAAAGCTGTCGCCTACATACCTCCTGCGAGAGGCCTAGGTTTATCACTTGAAAACACGGTTGCACTGAGCTTCGCTCCAACCTTGAGTGGCGAGGTGGAGTTACTGCACCCTGACAGCACAACCTTTCCTCAGAAAATTGGGCGAAACAGGATTGGCTTCTAAATTTCGCGCCATTCTGCTCCCCAACTCGGATTGGTTGCACGTGTTGGCGAAATCGCCAACACAACCCAAACCTCCCGAAATCATTACCCCCCAACCGAACCTTTCACGAAACTGGCGGGATTCGCCAGTTCTGTTTGAAACGTTCGCGCGCTCATTTCTGGAAAAGAGTCATTTCGTTCCCCAATCAGCTTGCGTCCTAGGGTGTGCGCCCAAAATACCCCCCGAAAATACATTTTAGTATGTAGACGGCAGCTTTAAACTTCGGTCTGTGCGTTCGGTTTGGTTTTTGATTCGGTGGCGGCATTTTAGGGGTTACCGGATTCGCTTATCAGGCTCGGCGGATTTGACAAAACCGAAGCTGACTCGTGTCGCCTCCAAACCTTTCGATCGCGCCCTTCCCCGAACCTCGCCAACGGGAATTTCGCTCAGCAAGTCTTTGTGTAGGTCCGAAAAACATGGAACATAAAAAAAGAGACACGCCCTTATAAATCACATCTCGTACTTTTCAGTTCTCTGTTCGTTCATTACAGCCTCCAACCCTAATTTTGAACCTTCAGTGCCTAGCTCACTTTCTGGAGTCCACCCCCTCAAGCATGAAAAATCCATCGATGGCGCTTTCCAGTAGCTGTACATGGAACCGTACCGGCTTTTCCGTCCGCACCGCATTGGTGGAATCATCGCCAGCATCTTCGTCGCCATCACTCCAATCTTCCATGTTCACTCGCTCTATCTATAGCCATTAGTTCCATCACTAGCCCCTTCTATCCTTTAATAGCTACCAATAGACATAATTTTCAAGTAGCAGCTACAGCAAGGACCCGTCGTCGTGCCCATGTCGCCAGCTGCTGCTACGTTGCGGCATTTCAGTCTCGAGTCCACCCGACACGATCATCGCTCTCCACGCACCGCGCACTCCCGCCTTGCTCGGTGTGCAGCTCCCGCCGCTGCTGCTGCAAATGCTGCTGCGCACTCCCGCCTCGCGCCGAGACGGCGCGCAGCTGCTGCTGCTGCTGCTGCTGCTGCTGCTGCTGCTGCTGCGGCTGGTGATGCTTGTGCGATGCCGCACAAGTGATGCAGCCTTCCTTCGGCGGTCCCTGTTGCCCGCTCAGGCAAATCGCGACACCCATTCGCGGGATTTCTGAAATAGGATGGCGACTCGGCCGCATCAGGCGGTGCAGCGAGGCTGCCTCGGTCTGTTTCAGGCTTTCCTCTGAGGCGTCGAAGATATCGTGGATTTCGTGGGGAGGGTTGCAAGGACGGAGTAATGCTGATGATAAGCTGCAGCTCTGTGTTTCGCTGTATTCCCCGCATGGCGTCGCAGCAGCTAGACGTTTTGTTCGGTGCTTAGATTAAGGATATTTACCACTGACGTGACAGACATGGGTTATTGGACATTTTATGATGCATGAAGCAAAAGGCGAAGGGATGCTGGTGCGGGGAAGACATGCGACAGATTCAGGAGGTACAGTTGTCGCATGCGACATGGCACATGTTGTTGAGGCGTCATTCTGCCATCCACGTGTTGCAACAAATACTGTCGCTGCGATTGGTTCCCTGCGCTCCCCTCTCCCTATTTAACGCACCTTGTCTCTCCCATTCTGCTACTCCCCCCTCCCCCACCGTCACCCTCTACCCTCCCCTTTTTCCGCTTATCTTGTCCTCAATCCCCGCTTCTCTGCTCCCCCACAGGGTCAAGATAGTTGTGGTGGAAATCACACACGGGGAAGTACAATCCAGATCCCGAGCTTCACATGGCAGCACGGCAGCTCCCCTTGTAACTTCGGATGGACTTGTATGACGAAGGTGAGATTCGGTGATGGGATTGTTGGGTAGGGACGTGTGTGGGTGTCACTTGAGGAAGCGGTGAAAAGGAGGGAAGGAGTGGGAAGAAGGGGTGGGGAGGAAGGGGGGAGAAGGGACGGAAAAGGGGAAGGGGGGGGAGAGTGAGGGGGGAGGGGGTGCTTCCAGGGCTGGCAGAGGCCATAGAAGACGCCTGGGGGCTTGTTTGGTGGCAGCAGTTGACAAGCTAGAAATCGCCAAGGTTAGAAACATGTAGGGGCTTGGTTGGAAGTCGGTGCGCACTGCGCAGCGGGGGAGATGCGTGTAGGAACCACTCGGGCCACTCGTGGGTGGCGGTGGGAAGGGGGCAGTTGAATAGCTATCTCGGCGAGAGTTGCTGAGAGTCAGTGAAGAGTTGGCAAGGAGTCATTGTGAGTGGCTTTTGGATGGCTTTGATGTCAGTGGAGGGAGTTGATGGGCAGCATAGATGAGCAAGGATGGTTGCAGCCAAGAGTGAATCTCATCCCCCCATCCCCCCTGCAAAAACCTCCTCTCCTTTTAAATTTCCAATTACGTCTTCCCAACCAACTCCCTATTGCAACCTCCCCCCATCTCATCCGCTCAGCCCCGCATGTGTGTATGCCACACTGCATTTTGATCCCCTGAATTCTGCCCTTACCACACATGACATTTCTCGCTAATTCACTGCGTTCCCTACCACTTTCGCCTTTTCCCTTGACCCTCTTTCCCCCTTCTCCCTTCCCCCCCAAAGCTCCGTTGCTCCTCCTCCACGGACCTTCAGATTCACGCTTCTTTAGCACTGTCTCCTGTTTCCCTCCCTGCCCGCATCCTCCTCATCAAAGCACTGCTCCCCGCCTTTCTCCGCTTCCCCTTATCTCTGCGCCTGCTTCTCCTTTAGGGACTTCCGGCCCACAGGTTTGCATCCCTACAGCACTGTCACTCACATCCCTCTCATTAGCCACTGCCCCTTTTCCATTCTTCTCTTCCCCCCTCTCCAACCCAGCTCTGTGAGCGTTTGCGCTGCAGAGAGCGCTCACGAGGGGGCGGGGAATGGGGACTGCTGATGGGGCTGGCGGAGGCTATAGAGGATGTGTTTGGTGTTGAAGATGGCGGGGCGGGGTACGGTGGATATATCGCCAAACCCCACAGGTCAGAGCGGTGAGGGGTGGGTATTCGTGTGAAAGTTGGCCAAGGGGACGGTGAGTGGGGGTTTGTGAAAGGAGTGGGGGGGGGGGGGGGGGGGGGGGGCTGAAGGGGGGTGAAGGAGGGGTTGCTGCTGGGGCGGGCGGAGGTCATAGGTGATGCGATGGGTGTCACCAATGGGTGGAAGGGACCTGGGGGAAGTTAACAGGCTGGATAATGCCCATAAATGTGTATTCCACATCGACTTGTGGGTCACGAGTAGATTACGGGTGAGACAAGGCTAGGTGGGGCTGCTGTTTGCCTGGTGATCATGTTCTTTCTCAGGGTCGAGCAGCGGGAGGAGGCGGTAGGTGGTGAGAGGAATGTAGTCTAAGGATGGTTCACCAGCAAGTCACTTCTAGCAAGCCTGTTGCATGCTGTCAGTTTTCGTTTTCGTCTTGAAGGAAGTGCAGATGAGGAGGTTAGGCAGGGCTGCTGGTTTCTGGGTCGAGCAAAAGGAGAAGGAGATGGGCTGGTGAGGGGAGTGTGGGCTAGTGGTGGGTAAAGACTCGTCAAACCAGGTTGTGCTCCTGTTCTCGCAGAAATATGTGCTCATGCCGGAGTGGTTATCGGGACAGACTCGAAATCTGTTGGGCTCTGCCCGCGCAGGTTCGAATCCTGCTGAGCACGGGTCAGCTTGTGTTGACGCTTGCTGATGAAACTGTATTTAACATCTGTGCTCCATTGTTTTACATGTCAAACTGCGACGTCGCTTTAAGCACAGCGAGTATTCCGATTGCCAGGTGATGACGTATCAATTGCCTTAGTGATCACCCTTTCCGTCTTGAAGACGCATTGCCTCAGCGACAGACCCCACATGCCTCAGCAACAGACCCCTGTGCGTCAGACCCCACAGGTCTGACGCACTGGGGTCTGTCGCAGTGGGGTCTGTCGCAGTGGGGTCTGTCGTACCAGGGTTTGTCGCGCTGAGTTCACTCACTCGAAATGGGGTCGCTCTATTGCTCGCATTAGGAGATAACTGCCCGTGGGTTGATCCGTTGAGGCGCAGACTTGCACGCGAGGGGGAAAGAGGGGACGACAATCGATGTGCGAGTGGATTGGTCCGACGAAAACCTTGCTGCATGTAGGATGGGAAATTGCCATTTCCGAAGGGGAGAGGAGGGAACGAGGGGGATTCAGTGTGCACGTAGGTCGATTCGAAAAGATTCCTCCCCGCACCACTCACTCCGTTCCCCATCCCGCTCTCTTCGCACTTCTTTTGGCGCCTCGAAAGCCCCTTGCCTCCCCGCGTCCCGCATTCTGCTCCCCATTCCAATCGCTGTGCATAAAGACGTTACCCTAGATCCGTGCTCTCCGTTGCTCTTAAACCATTCCGTCTCACCAACCACTTTACTCACGCTGCTTCCCATCCTGCTCTATTCTCGTCCGCGTTGCTTGCAGCATCAGTCCCCGTCGCGTGCCCACGGCACCCACTTCGCTCCCCATCCTGCTCTATTCGTGCAACGCCTGTGGGGCTTATTTGTTAAGGTTGAGTGCTTCCCCTGCACCTCAAGTATAACCAGTGGGTAACTCCCCCATCCGCTCCTCGTCCCTTGGCAACTTGTTCGAGCAAGGGGGAGGGCGAGTGGGCACGGGAGGTGGCGGCGGCGGCGGCACTACGGTGGCTGGCATCACTGGGCGTGGACAGTGGGGAGGAGGGAGAGGGAGGGGAGGGGAAGGGGTAAGATGAGGGGGATGGGGAAGGATGAGGGGGAGGGGGAAGAAAAGAGCGCAAGGGAGAGGGGCAGCCACACTCGTGTCTGCACCTCCCAACCCCTCTCTCCGCCCCCAATGCCCTAATCTCACCTTCCTTCTCTTCCCCCCCAAATCCCCCTTTTCTTGCCCTTCCTTCCCGCTTCCCCTCCCTCCTTGTTTCCCCATATCCCCCCTCCTACCCCTTGCTCTCCCTGTCGCACCACTCCGTGCCGCCGCCCGCCCAAGTGAGCCCTGCACCCGTGCCCGCCTTCTACTCCTTCTTGGGGCCGCGCCTGGGCGACGCAAGCGCCGCGGGCAGCGCGGGTAGACTGGCGGCGGGTGCAGTGGAGCAGCAGGGTGAAGTGGGGGCAGGCAGATGGAGGAGTGAGAGGCAGCGAGCATGGGAGGGGGCAGCAGAGGGAGCGGGCGAGGAAAGGGAGGAGGAATGAGGAGTCAAGAGCAGCAGAGGGGACACGGATACTGGCTGCCGTGGTGGTGCAGATGGTTGGGGGAGGGGGGGGGGGGGGGAGTGTCCAGCACGTTGCTTTAGAAGTCGCTCTTCCCCTGCTCCTTAGGTGTGTTTCGCGCATGTGCGACTGCTGTGGCTGTCCCCCACGCAATGCCATATGACACCACGTGTCTGCAGTATCCGCAGCACCACTTTCTTCTCTGCTTCTCACATTCGTCCCACCAGCGCCTTGGCTCCCCTCTTTCTCCCCCCACTGCCTGTGTCAGGCCCGTTGCCTCAGCCTCTCCTCCGCACGCCTCGCACTAGCAGCATTAGCTCCTCTTTTGCGCGCCTCCCCTACACTACTGCCCCTGGGAGACGACTCGGGGGCAGCATGGGCAGGAGAATGGGAGGGAGGGGAGAGGGAAGAGGGGGGGGAGAGGGAAGAGGGGAGGGAGAAGGTGGGGGAGAAGGGGCGGGAGGGAGCATGAGCGGCAGTTTGATCAATACAGACATGCGCGCTGGCACAAGGCCGAAGGAGGGGGGGGGGGGGGGGGAGAAGGGGACAGGGGCACCCAGGCATGGAGGAATTGTGGCGGCCAGCAACAAGAACAGGCAGCATAGGCAGCACGGGAAGCACGGGAAGCAGAGGCAGCATGATTGGGAGGAGCGCGAGCATGGAGGAGGGGCGAGCACGGCTGCTGGCAGCTGATGCAGCACTCACGGATGCCATTCTCACGGGTGTGATCATGCCCACACCCACCCACCTCCTCTTCCCTGGGCTTCCCCCAGTGCGCGCAGCATGGCAGCACCGCGACTGCCCATAATGGCGGTGGTGGTGGCATGGTGGGCAGCAGCGTGGATTGCAGTCACAGCATCAGTGTAGTGTGGCGATCGGGCGGCGCAGCCTTGACAGCAGCAGCAGCAGCGTGTGCTGCAGAGACAGGGCAGCGTGGCACTCAATCGACAAGGTAGCATGTGGCACGGCGGCATGGGGCAGGGCGGCATGGGGCAGGGCGGCATGGGGCAGGGGGGCATGGGGCAAGGCGGCATGGGGCAGGGCGGCATGGGGGCACATCGAGAAGAGGTAAGCCATCCTATAGCTGTCCCAGTTGGCCTTCCGCATTGCAAGCCTTGCAAGCCTGGCTCGCAGCCTACAAATCGTTTTGCTCGTACTTTTTGTCATATCGGGCCAATGTGCCAAAACGAGTCAACCAACCTTGACCCGATTCGAGTCAAATTTCGATTCTACCGAACTCGGCTATCCGGCTCGAATCAACTCGCAAATCAACATTGACTCGACCTGCAAATGCGTTCCACTCACATTTGAGGAGTGCATTTGCTTGTGGTTTAAACTAGTAAGAATCTAATGCCCGGGCCGAGGAGGCTCTCACCAAGCTGCCAGGCTCGCCCCAGCCTTGCGACTCATGAGCCACCTCGTTCCTAAACCCCCCCCGGGGGTAGTCCTCCAGGTCAGGGGATGGATTTAGCATGTCTTACGCTCCTCGCCAACCTCAACCAACGGAAAATCTTTGAAACTGAGGTCTTGAATGCATGCGATTTGGCTTGGAAAGTGTGTAATAGAAAACCAGCACAGCCCGAGATGCTCTGGTTTTCTATCAGCCCCATGGTCTCAAGCTGACCCGAGTTGCGTGCGAGTCTACTTCAGGAATCTTCCTACTCAAAGTGCACCTCAAACGGCCAGGCCACGAGCCCCTTTGTTCACTCATAGTATAGGACTCACCACCATTTGTCTTCTCCCTTGCACTATGATTTCAGATCCCGCGTGGTGGGCTCACTCCGTCTCCCCTCACCCCGCCTGGCTGTGGTAAGGAGAAACAAGCCACGGAAGCAACCAATCATGGATTCGGTTCTATCCAGTGTGAGGATGTGTATCCGGTGGGTGAGGTTGCATATTTCATGCCACGCTGAGCTGAGATCTTTGACTCGTCGTCATTCCTGGTCCGCATCCTCGTGCAGCCTTGTATCTTGCTCCCTTCCTACTCTTGGGATCCCTTCTGGCCTATCCCTCACTGCCGCGTTTTGCAACCCTCACCTACCTACTTGCATTGATGTAAAGGTGTGATGGGAGCGTCAAATTCTGCTTATACAATGAAGGTTTTTTTTGTTTGGAGAAACTTCAACAGATAAGACCCCTTTGTCTTTGCTTGCTACTTTTATTTTTCTCTCACCTCCTTTCTCTTGCACGACGATTCCCTTCTCAGAAACCATTTTCTGATACCATCGCTGTTCCTGGGACCTTCTGGCTGCTCTGCTCGTTCAGCTCGCTTCATGTGGCTGATGTACAACATCACCTTTGTACCAGCCCCTCTGTGTACCTCTCCAACCTGATCATCTCCTCCCTTGCCTGACTCCTCTGGTTCCTCTCTCTGATTCGCTCGCTGTTCTTGAGGTTCCTTTTCACTCTGTCAGCAACTTTCCCATCCCCTTGTTTGTGTCCTTCACGGCTCGTGAGTCGGAATGAACCATGAAGGAGCATAGGGTTCATTCCGACTCGTGTGTGACATCACACTACTACCCTATGCAGTCCTTTCCTCCTCATGGGTCGCCTTCACTCTTCGTATTCATTTCTGCATGCGTGTGTGTATGAATGTTCTACAATATAAAAACTCACCCATGCGGCCTCGGCCTTTCTGGCTACCTTCTACTGGCGCCTACAGGAATACATGGGAGAGAAAACACCTCCTTCACCTGTAACGGATGGGTATGTAGGGAAAAAAAAGAAGATATGCAGTGTAGTAGGATATATAATGCTTTTGAAGGAATGAATGGGCAGAAGTTTAGGAGGGTTCCCAATATCAGAACTCAAGGATAGAGTGCGTGGGTGGGAGATCCATGGTGGTTGTACATGCGTGGTGTGCATCACAACCTTACAGCCATCCTCGCACCAAGATTCTGTTCTAGGAACTGAAGAACAAATACAGTTTAGCATAAACGGTATCGGCTCCGTTAGGGTGACAGTCTTATCAGAGCGAGGTTTCGATCCTCGGACCTGTGGGTTATGGGCCCACCACGCTTCCACTGCGCCACTCTGATGCCACCTGATACTTCTTTTTTTAATACAAGTTCTACTCTCCTTCCTCCTCTTCTACTCTCCTTGCTCCTCTTCTACTCTCCTTGCTCCTCTTCTACTCTCCTTGCTCCTCTTCTACTCTCCTTGCTCCTCTTCTACTCTCCTTGCTCCTCTTCTACTCTCCTTGCTCCTCTTCTACTCTCCTTGCTCCTCTTCTACTCTCCTTGCTCCTCTTCTACTCTCCTTGCTCCTCTTCTACTCTCCTTGCTCCTCTTCTACTCTCCTTGCTCCTATTCTACTGTCGTTTCTCCTCTTCTACTCTCCTTGCTCCTCTTCTACTCTCATTGCTCCTCTTCTACTCTCATTGCTCCACTTCTACTCTCCTTGCTCCTCTTCTACTCTCATTGCTCCTCTTCTACTCTCATTGCTCCTCTTCTACTCTCATTGCTCCTCTTCTACTCTCATTGCTCCTCTTCTACTCTCCTTACTCCTCTTCTAATCTCCTTGCTCCTCCAGGGCTTTCTCTTGTTCCAATGCGGTCTGGCTTCATGCCAAATGCATGAGTGTGCTTGATCCATACTTGTCCCCCCTCCCCCTTCTCCCCGTTTTTCCCCCCGCCAGGTGTGTGAGAGCCGCATACCAGCAGTAGCAGACCGCGTGGTGCTGCGCAAGCTGGCCCAGGACATGTGTGAGTGGTCGCGCCTGCTGGTGAGTGAGGAGAAGAGAGGGGGGGAAGAGGAGAGGAGGGGATTTGGGGATGAGCGGTGAGGGGTGATGGCGCAGGGCATGCACGAGTGGCTGCGCCCATGGGTGAGGGGGGCGATGGGATAAGGGGGATGTGGGAGGCTTAAGAGGAGATAGGGGGGTTGAAGGGAGATGAGGGTAGGTGAAGGCTCGGACAAAAAGGGTGAGGTATGTGACGCAAAGATTGGTTATTTTTTCAAGCCACAATGCCCATTTTTTCTCTGCACCCATCTCCCCACCACCCTCCCTCACCCCTCTTCCCCAACCCTCTCCCCCACCCCTCTCCCTCACCCCTCTCCCCCAACCCTCTCCCCCACACCTCTCCCCCATCTCTCTCCCCCACCCGCTTGCCCCAACGGCCTCTACCCACCCGTCTCCCCTCCCTGCTTTCCCGCACCTCTCCCCCACTCTCCGCACGCCCCACCCTTACCCCTCTCTGCCACGCCTCTCTCCCAACACTTCCCTAAACCTCTTTCCCAAGCCTCTCCCCCAAACCTCTCGCCCAACCCGCTCCCCAACCCCTTTTCCCCCACGCCTCCCGCCTGTGCCTCCCCTCCACGCCTCCTTCCAACACCTCCCCCTCTCACGCCTTGGCCACACGCCTCTCCCCCACCGTCTTCCTCCCCCATGCCCTGATCCTGCCGGGAGGAGTCAGCTGGCGAGGAGGCAGTGGGATCCAGTGGCTAGCGCAAGTCAATGTACGCGCAGATCACGGGCATAGGGCCATGGGCCACAGGTCAACAGGGCTGGACTATACCACCCACCCAGCAAGAGCTTGCTGACGAGACCGCAGCAGAGCAGAGCACATCACGCGCCCTAGGTGTGCGCGTACTTTGCGTGCTGTTCCCTGGCAGTGAGGCCCTCGTAGCGGAACACAACTGGCCTGCGATGGACCTTGGTGTCGCCCGACTGCTCTCCAGCAGTGACCCCATCGTCGTGGGATTGGTCGAGATAACGACTAGGACAACACTCAAGCAACGATGCATGATGGTCCGCCCTACACTTTTTGCTTTCCCCATGCTCTTTCCTTCTCCCTTCCTCCTCCCCCATCGCACCCACCCCCACCCCATCCCCTCGAAGCCTCACCCCACCTGCACATTCCCCACCTGCACCTCTTCCACGGCCCTGCCACTCGTTTCCTGTCTTTCATGCCCTCTTGTGGGTGCGTTGTAAGAAGAGGGGGAGAGTGGGGTGAAGACAAGGCAGTGCCGGTGAGATGGCGGATAAGGGAGTGTGTGTGGTGGGGAATAGGAAAATGGTGGGAGGAAAGGGGGGCGGGAGATGGGGGGGGTAATTACTGTGTGTAGCTGTCCATCTGCCCTACTTCCTTTCCCGCCCTCTAGGCTGCCATGGTGGTGAGGTGAGTAAGGGGGTGGATGGTGGACGCTGGATGGTGGATGGTGGATTGTGCGTGGTGGATGGTGGATGGTGCGTGGTGGATTGTGGGAGGTGGATGGTGGGCTGTTAACAGCATTGCCCCGAGTGGGTTGTTAAACTCAAACTGGTCCTGTTGGGGTGGGCAAAAGACTAAGATGGCCACCCTTGTAACAGATAACTGTGGTCTAAAAACAATGGATTGGCTCTGCTGGACTGGACGAATTTCCAGGCAGTGCGCTCTGCCAGTTATCAGCCTGCATCTTCGTCGCCTTCCCTCCCTTTCTTTTCCTTCCCTTTCCTACTTTCCCTTCCCTATCTTCCTTTCCCTGCTTTCTCTTCCCTCCCTGGCCTTCCCTACCTTCCCCTCCCTCCTTCCCTTCCCTGCGTTCCCTACCTTCCCCGCCTTGCCTGCTCTCCCTCTTTGCAGGGCCTATTCAGCAGGCGCAAGGCCAAGATGACCACTATTATCACGTCTCCCTCTGGGCACTTGGCATTTTCTCTGGCAGGCAGTGTGCTCCGCCTCCATGAGCCTTCATCATCCTCGCCCTCCGCAATAACGAGGAGCTCCCTTCAAGCGACGATGGGGATTTGTGATTGCCCCGATGCTGTAGAATGGAAGTCTGCTGCTTCTGCTCCCCAAGAGTGACAGCATGTTCACCCACACTGATTTCCGGGTGTCATACATCATTCCACTGCTTAACAGCAGTCTGCTGGTTCTTTGTGTCAGGTTTCGGAGTGTACATCATGTCCATCACGCATCACACAATTATTCGTTGGCACGAAATTTTCTAGCCTTCCGCAACAACGGACTCACTTGACAATGACCTATACAACAATCTCAAATATCTTGCGAGCATACAGTACAAGCATCATACAGTACAGGCATACAGTATTTGCAGCCACAATACAATACTCTCCCTGAGCCAAGACCAGAAAGAGCAGAACATACTAATTTGGCCAATGCATGGCAGAGGTCCGAACGGAAGCAAAGCCGTCTTCAGGGGGTGAAGGTGCAAAAGCCCTGGGAATAAGCAGAAGCTAGCGGCGGCTGCTGAGGCGGAAAATGCAGGGGCACCAGGTATGGGGTAGAAAGCAGGAGAAAAACAACCAAAATCAGGAGCAGAACGACCGAAAGCAGGAGCTGAACAACTGAAAGGCGAGACTGAAGGAATGAAAGGTGCCTAACATGGCAAGGCATGGCAGAGGTGTGAATGCTGAGTGGGATCAAACGCTATACCAGGGACGGAGATGAGGCACGAGCTCAGTGCAGGGGCAGATACGTGGGTTGGAGGCATGGAGAGGAGAGGCTTGTTGCTGTTGCTGATGCAGGGACAGCAAGAACTTAAGGGCAGACAGCAGGAGAATAATCAACAGCAGTTCCTTGGCGTGGCAGATGCCTGAGTGGGTGGCACACCGCGCCATGTGCTAATGTAGAAAGGCCAGAGAAGGAGCAGCGGAAATGGGAGCTGATGTTGCCAAGTTGCCAAGAGCAGACAGAGTAACAGTAGAGCCGCCTGCAGAAAAGTGGCTGCCAGGCCGCCATTGCTCGCGAGCATGTTGAGTTGCTGCAGACCGACTGCAAGACCAAGGACGTGCAGATCCTGAAGGCTCTTGGCATCGCCGGATCTCTCGCTGATGCTGTGCTCCTGCAGAAGATTGTCTGCCTAGATTTCGAGGTGAGTTTCTTTCATACGCTTTCGTTTAAACTGATGGGTGTCTTCTGTTCACTCCGGTTTATACCCTGACGGGTGTTTTCTGTTGCTATTGCAGAGAATGATGTCGGAAACCGTCAACGATTTCCTCTTCGACGGCGACCACATGAACTTGGCGCCGAAGAGGAGTGATGTTGTTGAACGTTTAGTCGGTAAGCAGACGAGTCGTGTTTCTTCTGCTATTGCTCCGATCTATGTTTCTGACTGCCGCCCGTTCTTTTACTTCGCACAGCACATGCAGGTTTCACATGGGGCAGCGATGAGGCTTCGAGGCTGGTGGCGCACATGAAAGACAATGACATCGTTAAAAAGACAGAGAAGCGGTTCAACAACCGCATTGGCAAGATCTACGGAGGTTGCAGGAGGAGCTTGCGGTTGGTACGGGGCGCGCGACTGTTCGTGATTAAGGGTGCTCCGAATGGAACCATCCGAGCTGTGGAGCCAGACGATTTTGCTGCCTGATGCCATGCTTACGTGGCTGTGTATGGCAGCAGTAAGTCTTTACCCGTGTTTACCTTTGTAAACTCTCTTTAGTCTTGTTTTCAGCAACTCAACATAAATGTTGAGTTTTTTAAATAGTGACATAATAAAGCAGTCTGTACTTACTCTGTCATTATTGCCCGTTCTTTGCTTTGTGGCTTGTCACAGGGCTGAAGGGCATAGAGTGGCACCTGCTTAATGGCCACCCTTTTTCCAGCCCAGCGTTCATGGCGTGTGCGCGCCTGTTTGTGACAGAGGAAGATCCAGACCGCCCACTTGGGATCTATGCGGCACAGCTCCTATTGATTCTGGCAATCGTGAGTCTAATCGCATCTGTAATGCAAACTTTTCTACTGTATGTTCTGTCTTACAGGCTCGTGTTGTGTTGTTGAATGTGTGCAGGTCCGTTATAAGCTACATCACCCCACTTGCAACAAGCTTCAGCTTGGTCGCTCTGGTGACACTCTCGCCATCTCCAGGCAAGCGCGCATTGTGCAGCGCTATATCAACAGCATGGGCCGGACTGAGGGTGACTTCATAGGCATAGGGCGCATCTGTTTGGCGCAGTGGGTGACCATCCCCCAGGAGGCTCTGGATGCTGATGTCCTGGGGGATGAGGATGCAGAGGATGAGTTAGATGAAGATGAGGTGGTAGACGAGGATTCTGAAGATGACTCCTGAATGGATTTTGTATGCATTGTATTTTTATTTCTGCGTGTCTTTATAATTGCTGGTTTTATTACGAAAATGCCCATGTTCCGCTATTTAGGTCCCCAGAACGCATTTAAAATTGTATGTGCTAAAATTTATAATTCTACATGTTACTGGTTTTGAGTGTACTCTAGTAACTAGGGTTACCAGCAGGGCTCTTGCTAGGATCTGAGGACGTCTGATTTATCAGACGAGTCCCCCGGGCATTAGACAAGGTTTTGTCTGATCCTGTTTGCCAAATCAGATGAATCCAAAAAAGTAAGTCTGAAAATCAGACCATCAGACCAAATTAGTCTGATAATGAGAGCCCTGGTTACCAGTTGAAGGTAACTTTGATTTTGTAACATACATTGAACTGTACCTTGGTAACACGGGTTACGGATGTAACAGTAACAAGAAATGAGTAACCCCTGAGCTACAGTATCGCCGCTTCGATCGCGAAGTGATCCGTTGTGAACAAACTTCGGTTTGCGTAAGAGCACAATGTTTTAGCGATGTTAATTCTTAATCTGTTAAGTGAGGTGCTATGCTACAATGACGAGTCCCTCTATGAAGAATAGTCACACCTCGATTTATTCACAATTGTTTTAGAACAACCCGAAAATCTCGACCTGGAACAACAAAAAAACGTACCGAACCCTTATCACGCAATCGGCTATGTACAGTAGCTGCGCGCTTTGGGAAATGGCGAGTTCGATTGTGGAGTGAAACCTTGGGTTCGGAATGATGCCGCGTGGAATGTCGAAATCAACCTGCAGGTGACATGCTGTAAGTGTGTATTGCAACACGCCAATCCCAGGCATCGCGAAAAAAACTCCCAGCGATGCCTATCAAACATCAAGCCACTGGATGGTATGCTGTTTGACACCCAGGTATAGGTTCCGATCGCGGCAGGTGGGCGTTTCCAGTGGCATGACAGCGAGCGCGAGAGAGCTCATTCCCCCACGCAGGGCGCACCGAGGACCTGACAGCACGCGATGCCTAGGGGGGCTGCGTCGGTGGGAGAGCTAAGAGCCGTGAGGCTACCTTTACGGACATGCCGCGTATGTGCTTGTACCTTGTCGCTTGGGGAGCGCATTGTTGCTTTGTGCATCTTCGCGCAGTGTATCGTTGCGCTGTGTATCGTTGCGCTGTGGATCGTTGCGCTGTGTATCGTTGCGCAGTGTATCGTTGCGCTGTGTATCGTTGCGCTGTGTATCGTTGCGATGTGTAGTTGTGCAGTGTATCCTTGCGCAGTGTATCCTTGCGCAGTGTATCGTTGCGCAGTGTATCGTTGCGCAGTATATCGTTGTGCAGTGTATCGTCGCTCAGTGCGACTGAGTCACCCCCCTATGGACACCCCCCCAACTGTTGAACTGTCCTTGTCATTGAATACAAGTGGTACAGCAAAGTCAATGGTAAAGAACCAAGGTAAGAACGCATAAGCCAACCTAATCAAAGAATAAAGCCTTGAAAGGTATGTGCTACGAGGGGGGAAGGAAACGAAAAAGAGGTGGGGGGGAATGGGGGTGGTGTCATGGGGAGTGGGGGTGCTCGCTCTCTCCTGCATCCTAGCGCTCTCCCTCTGCCTCGCTTCTGCCTTCCCCTCCCCTCTCCCGGTTTCATTAACTCCCCTCCCCCTTCCCTATCGTTCCCCCCTGCCGCTCTTACCAAGCGCAGACCCATCTCCTGCCCCGCCATGCTCCCACTGCTGCTGCTCACCTGCTTCTGCTCGCGCTGCACGCTGGCGGCGGGGTGGCAAATACAGGCGGCAGGCTGTGAGTGCGCCCTAGCGGGTGGTGAGGCAGCATGGAGTGGTATGGGAATGGGGTGGTATGGGGTGATGCAACGGAATGGGAAGGTATGGGGCGGTGGGGCGGCGGCATGCAGGGGTGGTGTGAGATTTTCCATGCCAAGATTCGCCAATGCCACTGTGACTCTCTTTCACCGCGTTCCTCAGAAGCGCTCTAGCCGTTGCGCATGTCCTGCAACGGTCAATCGCTCTCCTGAACGCACAACTCACCCTTAACATCCTTGTTCCGCCTCTCCCTGCCCCCTCTTTGCCTCTCCATGCCCCCCTTTCCTATGCTACTACCCTGTTATCACCCCTCCTTCCCTCCTTTCCCTCCCTTTCCTCCCTCCACTCCCTCTTCTCATCCCCTCTCCCAACAACCCTCACTCATCTGTCACACAACCCCATCACAAAAATCCAGCGTCCAGAAAGCCGATGAAAAGAGGCTCGTTGGAGCCTTTTCAAATGATTTATAAACGTAGGGTTTCAAACGCTTTTTTGAGAAAGTATAGGTCGTTTTCCAAATGCTTTGTCGAATGCTTTTCAAATGGTACTCGAATGCTTCTCTGTTCAAAACTGCATCTTGAATACCTTCGACTGACGTTTGGTATGAGTTTTTGCGAAGTGATTTTGGAGACTAGATCTGATTGCATTGTACTCTTCAGTGAGTTTGATGTTGACTTCATACTGCTGATTATTGGACATTCCACAAACGTTATTAATATTTTTAAGAGGGCCTCTTCCGGTCCCTGCGTGCCCCCATGCCCCTCCCCATGTGGATTCCCTCCCCCCACACTCCACCGTGCCCGCTGACCTCCGTGAGCCCGCGGCTGCACCCCCTGCGTCCAACCCTCTCCGGCCTTCGCTGGCAGTCAAGCTGTTCCGCAGGCGCTGGCGGCATGGGGGCAGCTTGGGGGCGGCTGGCAGGCGTGGTCGGGCAGCAGTGACTGCTCAACCGTGCAGGGCGTCACATGCAACGCTCATGGCAAGGCAACGTTGTCTCCCTGGTACGTGAGGCATGTGAGTGCTGCTCCAGCGCATGTGAGTGCTGCTCCAGCGCATGTGAGTGCTGCTCCAGCGCATGTGAGTGCTGCTCCAGCGCATGTGAGTGCTGCTCCAGCACATGTGAGTGCTGCTCCAGCGCATGTGAGTGCTACTCAGCGCATGTGAATGCTGCTCCAGCGCATGTGAGTGCTGCTCCAGCGCATGTGAGTGCTGCTCCAGCGCATGTGAGTGCTGCTCCAGCGCATGTGAGTGCTGCTCCAGCGCATGTGAGTGCTGCTCCAGCACATGTGAGTGCTGCTCCAGCGCATGTGAGTGCGGAACCAGCGCATGTGAGTGCTGATCCAGCGCATGTGAGTGCTACTCCAGCGCATGTGAATGCTGCTTCAGCGCATGTGAGTGCTGCTCCAGCGCATGTGAGTGCTGCTCCAGCGCATGTGAGTGCTGCTCCAGTGCATGTGAGTGCTGCTCCAGCGCATGTGAGTGCTGCTCCAGCGCATGTGAGTGCTGCTCCAGCACATGTGAGTGCTACTCCAGCGCATGTGAATGCTGCTCCAGCGCATGTGAGTGCTGCTCCAGCGCATGTGAGTGCTACTCCAGCGCATGTGAGTGCTGCTCCAGCGCATGTGAGTGCTGCTCCAGCGCATGTGAGTGCTGCTCCAGCGCATGTGAGTGCTGGTGGTGGTGTGGGTGTCATGCGGCGCAAGGAATAGAGGAAGTCGTATCCGTCAACCCCATGCGGCCCCCTTTCTGTCTGCCGCTCCTCCCTCCCCTCTCTATCCCGTCCCTCTCCCTCCTCGTCCAGAGCCACTGTAAAAGGTGCTGCTGGTCACGCGTGTGGCATGCGGCATAGCGTGCAGGGGGGTGGCTGCAGTGGAAGTTGAGACTCCTCGTACGAGGAGAACATGAACCCTCGCGCTGGGCGTACGGTGCCCTCTCACTCTGCCTACTCTCCCGTCTTTCGCTCTGACTATTTTATCCCCTCTCTCTCCCCTCTCACTCTACCATCGCTCCCCTACCTCAACCAGAGCTCCTGTTCATGGTGCTGGTGGTGGGGTGGGTGTCATGCGTCGGAGTGATAGCTCACCATAGCAGCTATCCTTCCTCTCCCTGCACCCTCTCTCCCATCCCTCCCCCACCTCTTCCAGAGCCCATGTTCATGGTGCTGTTGTTGGTATGGGAGCCATGCGGCGCAGTGATGGCAACAGCCCTCTCTCTCAACCTCTGAATTCCGCCCTTCATTCGGAGGCATCACTCAATTTTACGTTTCCAATCCACCCGTCCGTCATAGGTTCATTTCGCCGTGGGGCGGGACCGGATGTGCCTAGAATGGCCAGACGATGCCATAGACTTCTACCCAACGCTCGAACAGCGCCTTCAGGTTTTGTATCAGGTTATCAGCGAGACGCACATAATTAAGCTGATGCAGCTGCGAGAGGCTATGGAAGACAAAAACATTGTCGACGGCTTCAAACGCGCTTGGACGTCATGGAAGAACGATCGTGGCTTCCACCTCAAGCGCAGAGTGCTTGTAACTTTCGGCAAGAAGGTGCAAGGCCTGCGTGCAGCCGATCTCTGGATGGGCACCAAGAAGAAGAAGAAGATGTGGAGAAAATACCAACCAAGTGAGTACGCGCGTTTCTGTTTTACTTCACCATTCATTTCATCTGCTCGTGCACCCCTCATGACGATGATGAACAACTTACCCTAATGCATCCCCACTGTGGCACGCAACTACATACCTGCTCTCCTTGCCCAGGCTTGTAGCGCATGTGCAGTCACATCCGCATGACAGCTTAACGTTGGTTCTTCTCCCACTCTCCCCTTCTCCCGCCCCCCCTTTAATCTACAGCTCTCCCCTTCCCTCCCGCCATCCCGTTCTCTCCCTCCCTCCATTTCTCTTCAGCCCTCCCCTTCTCTCCCGCCCTCCATGTCTCTCCTGCCCTCCCCCTCTCCCCTGCCCTCCCCTTCTCTCCCGCCCTTCCCTGCTCTACTGCCCTCCAGCCAACCCTCCATTCATTCTATACCGCCCTCCACTTCGTCCATACCCTTTGGACAACCCCTAACCATGTCGTGCATGATCTTCGTCCCCGCCTTGTCCTGCGTGCGCGCAGGAGGGAATCAGCGGGTCAGCTCGTGGGGAAACAGCAGAAACGGGCTCCCGTTTGCCAACGGCCGGTTTGTAGATGCGGTCCGGGAAGCATTTCGGAATCTCTGTGTCGGGCGCCGGGTGTGCGTCAAAGCCTACCACATTGCCTGGTCAATCATGGTGGTAAGGCATTATTGCTCTCCCGTCAGTTCGCTCTAGCTTTGCTTGCAATTCTTGCCCGCCAGACTGGAATGTGGGGCTATTTGCGCAGCCCGTGAACTCTACACGCGAGTGTCCACATATGTCTCTATTTCCCCTCTTTCCCATACTGTGCTACGCTTTTTCAGATTGACCAGGGCTTGGCAAAGGTTAAGAAGACCGACTGGAACGTCTCGAACTCCCACCGGAAGAACACCGAGTGGATGACGGGTTTGCACCGAAATGTGCGGTGGATTATCAAGGACCACTTCAGACGCCACACCCCCGTGTACAACACAGTCGTGCAGGGCTTCAAGTGGGGCAACCGTGGCCTGTATGTTCACGAGTCAGGATTTGAGGCGTTCAAGGGGACGGCCGCGCCTGACGAGGAGAAGGACTTGAAGGAGGAAGAGCAGGAGGTGTACGACGCGGAGGACTTGAAGACGGATGACGAGGAGGATGACGAGGATCAGGAGGAGGACGAGGAGGAGGAGGAGGAGGAGGAGGAGGAGGAGGAGGAGGAGGAGGAGGAGGAGGAGGAGGAGGAGGAGGAGGAGGAGGAGGAGGAGGAGGATGAGGAGGAGGAGGAACAGTGGGGGCAGGAGCGGAGGAAGAGCAAAAGGCACAAGAGATGCAAAAGCAGGGGAGGCAAGAGGGATGAGCAAGAGGATGAGGAGGAGGAAGAGGAAGAGGATGTGAAACGGGGGGGGCGGGAGATTAGGAAGGGCAGAAGGCAGAAGAGAGGGAAACTCAGGGGAGGCAGGGGGGAAGAGGAAGAGGGTGGGGAGGAGGAGGAGGGGGAGCAGGAGGATGAAAATCATAGGGGGCAGGAGAGGAGGAAGGGCAGAAAGCACAAAAGAGGCATAGGCAAGGGAAGCAGGAGGGAAGAGGAAGAGGAGGAAGAAGTGGAAGAGGAGGAAGAGGATGAGGATGAGGAAGAGGAGGAGGATGTGGAACGGGGGGGGCGGGAGCTTAGGAAGGGCAGAAGGCAGAAGAGAGGGAAAATCAGAGGAAGCAGGGGGGAAGAGGAAGAGGATGAGGAGGAGGAGGAGGGGGAGCAGGAGGATGAAAATCATAGGGGGCAGGAGAGGAGGAAGGGCAGAAAGCACAAAAGAGGCAGAGGCAAGGGAAGCAGGAGGGAAGAGGAAGAGGAGGAAGAAGTGGAAGAGGAGGAAGAGGATGAGGATGAGGAAGAGGAGGAGGATGTGGAACGGGGGGGGCGGGAGCTTAGGAAGGGCAGAAGGCAGAAGAGAGGGAAAATCAGAGGAAGCAGGGGGGAAGAGGAAGAGGATGAGGAGGAGGAGGAGGGGGAGCAGGAGGATGAAAATCATAGGGGGCAGGAGAGGAGGAAGGGCAGAAAGCACAAAAGGGGCAGAGGCAAGGGAAGCAGGAGGGAAGAGGAAGAGGAGGAAGAAGTGGAAGAGGAGGAAGAGGATTAGGATGAGGATGAGAAGGGGGGGGGCCAGGAGCGAAGGAGGGGCAAAAGACACAAGAGTGGCAAACGCCGGGGAGGCAAGAGGGTCAAGCGATGGGGTGACTAAACAAGGGGGGCAGCAGATGAGGCATGAGTGGAGTTTACAAGGGGGGGCAGCAGGATAGGCATCACACACTTGCGAGGAGACATCAAAACGGAGGTAGAGGCATTGGTGGAGACAGCAAGGGGGGCAGCACGCCAGGCAAGAAAGTAGAGTCAGCATGGGGGGTAGCACGGGCGGCAAAAGCGTGGAGTCAGCAAGGGGGGCAGCAGTAGAGACAATGTGAGGAGTGTCCAAGGGTGGGCAACCAGCAAGGCAACCAGATAGTGCAAGAGGGTGCAGCAGAAAAGGCATGAGTTGAGAGAGTTGGGGGGGCAGCAGAAAAGGCACGAGCAGATAGAGGGGAGTGCACAAGGGGGGCAGCAGGTTAGGCATGACTGGAGCAAGCAGCAGTAAAGGCATGACTGGGGAGCGCCAGGGGCGGAGCAGCAGACGCATGAGAGGGCAGAGCATGCAATGAAGCAGTGGACGCAGGGGCACGCTCGACCTAGAGCACCAGAGATGGGGTTCGGTGGAAGACATAGTGTACTGGAGCATGCTAAGCAGGTCGTAGGATGATGCAGCTCAACCTAACTGACTAGGCACAGAGGGTTTAGGATGCTGTTTTATGTGCGTTTTTAGGGTGGAATTATCAGCTTTTACCAAAGCTTCTGTACTGTTCATTTTGAATGCAAGATTGAGGCAACTTAACATAGTTTTAAATTACATATAAGGTCGTGCAAGTCTCCTACATAAGCTTATTTTAATGAGCCCGAAATTCCATAAAGAGTACATTGCAATGAGATCCGATCTTCGAAATTGCTCTGCGGAAACTTGTACCAAACTTCTTCCGAAGGTGTTCACCTAGCAGGTTTGAACAGAAAAGCATTGGAGAAGCATTTGAAAAGCGTTCGAGAAAGCATTTGGAAAACAGCCTACACTTTCTTAAAAAAGCGTTCGAAAAACGTCGTTCAAGAATCATTCGACAAAACTCCAAAGCAACTTTTTTCATCGGTTTTCCGGATGCAGGATTTTTGTGATGACTGCTGTTGCTTGCTACTTCTGTTCCCTACCAGCCCCATGTCCATCCTTACAGTCACTTGTTTTCTCATGCCGCTCATGCCACGGTGCCACCACTGCTGCAGCAGGAGCAGTACAGTAGCCGTGACGTTGTCAGGTGGGGAAGGTGGGTGAAAGTCATGCAGCAGCCTCTGCAGAAGCAGCAGCAGGAGGATTAGGAGCACCCACCTCCTTGATTCGCATCTGCCCTGCCTGCCCCCGTTACTGCCCCACCTGCTGCAGCATGCACCTTCGTCGGGCACCGATTGCACCTCTCCCTGCTGCACTCCAGCTCTGCAACCAGCCGAAGCCGCTGCAGAGAGGTATTCTTATGGACCCATGGGACGGGCGTGGTGATTGTCGGGAGGGCGATTGTGGGGACCGGGTGTCGCTGCTGCTGATGCTGCTCCCTTGAGGTGCCCTTGCAACCCTTCCAAGCTCTCCCATCCCTCGTTCATCCTTTGTGGTTCCTCCCCCCCACACACCTGCCATGGCGCAGCAGAACAGGGCACATTGACGAACACCTGCACGTCGGCATGGAGGGGAGGTGTAACAGGACAAAGGTTGGAGAGGCAAGCCGTCACATACTCAATTGCACACACACAGGGTGCAAGCGGTCACATGGTCAATCAGTGCAAAACACCCGATAATGATCGCATCAACATCGGCCGACAAGGAGACTCGTTCCGATTCGATTACACTCGCTCAACAAGACTCACCCTCGTTGTTGCCGAACAACTAAAGGGCGATATCAGATGTATCAGCCTAGATAGCACGTCTTCCTTCGTCTGCCTTTTCAGAAAGCTACTGGGAAGCTCCGACTTCCCTCTTTCTCTTGCGTTCCTATCGTCTCTCTCGCACCCCCTCCCAGATCCCCCCACCCCCCCCCAGTCCCCCCAGGCAGGCGAAGCTGCACGTCCTGCTGGGTGCAGCATGGTCAGCCTCTCCCTAACCGCCCTGCGCCCATCTGCATTCTCCATCCAGCAGCACGGGATCGCTCACCTGCACCCTCGTGAACGGCCAGAAACGGCAAGCCAGCAGCAGCGCATCTGCCTCTGCCACCTAACTCCCCACACCCTCCTACTTACCATCTACTTCCACCGAGCGGAAAACCAGAACCCTTCCGCCTTCTCCCAGCTCCCTCCTCTCCTCCACTTCCCACTCCCCCCCTCCTCGTCCCCCTCCGTTCATATCCAACTCGACCTCCCTAATCCCTCTCGTCCCTCTCCTCTCGTCCTCTCCCCCACCCCACCCCCACCCCCCCTTCCCCGCCTCTCCTCTCACCCACTCCTCTCCCCCTCTCCTTTCGCCACCTCCTCGTCCCCCCTCCTCCTCTCTCCCCTCCTTTCCCCCTCACCTCCCTCTCCCACGCCGCTCTCCCACATCCTCCCGTGCTCGACACCCCCTTCTCACGAAAACAACACAACACTCCACACGTCTGCATACCTCAGCACTCCATTGCCACTTGCCTCACCACGCCAAACGAAAGGTCCTGAAGGGATGGAATAAAGGCACCAACCAAGCAAGGATTGGCAGGAGAGGCACAGAATGGAGCGGAGGTGGTGAGGAAGGTGACTTTTGAGGCGCCTCATAAGGGAAGGGTGGTGAGGAAGGTGCACGGAAGGGAGAGGAGGAACTTGAAAGGGTCAGCGGAAACGGGAAAGAGTGCTGCGGTAGACAGGGGATGAATCAGACACAGATGGAGTGAAACAGAGGAGGGTGTGCGGAGGCGAGAGGAAGAGGGGGGGAAAAAAGATCGGAGAAAAGGCTTTCATAGATGAATGCATAGTACAACCAAGGAGCATTGCAAACGATTCGTATGCATGACGACCCGAATCAGAAAAACGGGAAGGGGTGTGAGAAAGAAAGGAAGCTTCTTCCAGCCATGCAGCACCCAACCCAACCATGCAGCACCCAACCCAACCATGCAGCACCCAACCCAACCATGCAGCACCCAACCCAACCATGCAGCACCCAGACATACATCACTCTCAGCAGGGCGCACCTGCTCGGCTACTTGCTGGTCGCGAAGGCTAAGGCCGTCTGGTTGGAAGGGACCCACTGCATGCACGTGCAGTGCCCAGTCCTCCAGCGTGTCGTTGTGGCCTGTGAGAGGATGACAGGTAGCATGAGTGTGGGGAGAGAGAGAGTGGGGAGAAATGAGATGGGGGGTGGATTGATGAGGGGAAGAGGGGGGAGGGGGAGGGGGAGGGGGGAGGGGAGGGAAGGGGAAAGGGGGAGACGGGGAGGGGAGGAGGAGAGTAGTATTTTTTCTATAATTCTGAATGTATCGGAAAGGGCATACAGTGAATGGATATTTTTATTCCCCACAACAAGCATAGACGGAGAAGACAATTCTCTCACCAGCACCGTCAAATGACGGTGCCGCTTGCCATTTGCCTCGTGCAGTTCGCCATTCAATTCGCTGCTCGTGCAGCTCCGACGCCTGCGATGCTCGCGTCGCCTCCTCTCGCCTCTGACAATCCACGCGGCGCCGACTTTCTCGGCTTTAGTCACTGTCGCCAATAGGAAGCACTAGGGATGACGAACAGCAGTATTGGTGTATTGGGCCCTCAGCTCATCCGGAATCCAAACGACTGAGCAAGAGAGACGTTCCTCCTGAGACTATCCTTTGAGATTACATCACAGCGCAGTTAAGAAAGAAGGGCTGAGTAAAGAATCAAGGCGTTTCCTTGGGGAGAGCAAAGGAGGAGGCTGCGGGTGGAGGAGGGAGAAAAGCGGATTTGCCGTCTCTCTGATGCCTTCTAAGGTCAATTGCGCATTCATGCTTCTCGCGACGGTGGCTCCGGGTCACATAGTTGTGCGATGGTGAGGAGGAGAAGAAGGATGGGGCGGGGGAGGAAGTGCGAGAGTGATGTCTCCTAAAGCGGACGACATTCTGGCATCTCATAGCGAGTAGGGATTAATTATTTGAGCATCAAATGTTAGTGGCATCCTGCCGTTGTTTCTAGTAGTCAACTCAGAATTCGCACGATTAAACTCTGAAACTTATCGCTAGTCCACTTGACATTTTCCGATCGCGATAAGGCAGGTCGTCGAAGGCTGAGAGGCTAGATCACTATGTCATCGGGTCGCCAGGTCGATAGGGCACTGACTGGTCGCTAGTGCCATAATTCGCATGTTCACATATACTACCTCTTCGTATGCTGGACGCAGTACATAACATTCGCGGTAGTGGTCATTAGGGTTTCGCTTGTTCCATTATCGCGAGAGTGAATGAAGAGGTCTGTGCTCGTCAAACAGGGTCAGCCACTGCCCTCGTTCGTCTGACCAGGCGGGATTCTTGGGTTCGACACGCCCTGCTGGCACGCCACGCCACCACCGAAACTCATGTCACGTTGGAGTTCGCGAGAGCAGGGTAACTTGACGATACCATCGCAGATCCAAACTCCACGGGTGAATGGGAGGTTGGAATTTGCGAATTCGACGCCGTTAGCGAAGTTGGCCTGTCGCAGCCACGAAGAAATTTGCAAAGCAAATTTGTTGCGGGAAACTGGGCCTCTCCGTTTCCCTCAACTCCAACCCTAACCCTAGATTTCCTACTACACCCTGTTTCGCGCTAGCAGAGCATCTGGTTGCAGAACATGCGCTGGTTGTAGAACGTCACCACGTTTGAAATGGTCTTATCACCGACGGTACAAGCACATTCACAAGAAAGCGGTTAGCTAGGATGCTGCATGGTAAAGAACATTAACCAAGCGTTTCAAAGCGGTTGAAAAGGGTATACAGCGATAAAGAAAAATTTTGCCCCCAGTACCACTCCGTCAGCTGGTGCGGCTTTGCCCGCAGGTTTCAGCCATACGGTTTATGGCACCTGACCGCACTGTAGCAGCGAATCGCGCAAGGTGAGAGGGTCGAGAAACAGGGTGTACTAATTTATAGCTTTCCTCCTCCTTGGACATCCGAGTCGTCTGCACACCAGTAGTATTTGTCTTTTGGTTCAACCTTCTACAGATGTCCACGCACTTCTATTGAGCTTTAGTAGAAACACTGCTAGTTGCGCACAGCTTCACAAGCGCCGCTTGTGAAAGTTACCAGCCTTTTCCTGGAAGCTCGCCGCACCAATGACAATCAAGGAAAGGATCATACCGCTCGGCTTACTCCTCTTTCTGACGTGTCTCGCCCTGGTTTCTCCAGTCCGCTGTGTCCCGTTCGCCGGCTCCCAAGGTAACGAACTTTGGCGTTCAGGAGGCCGCCTTTGAACGACCCCCACCCTCACCTCCAATCCTCCTGTATTCTGTTGACCTGGAAAAAAAATGTCTTATGGAGTCTTGGTGACGGTAGAAGTATTCGGTCCAGCAAGGGTTCTATGGAGGCTCTCACACCACGATGGCACCACCATGACGCGGGGCGCATCGGCTCGGCTGCCATGGCGCGTCACTATGATCAACGGTTTTTACTCGGGGCCCGAGCCCGCTGTGTTTTCCGCTACCAAAGCTAGTATTTCGTTCAACATCATCCCGCCATGCACAATGTAGGCACCTGTGACACCACCGTGCCACGGCGTCATCAAAGTCAAGTGGCGCTTTCACAACGCATGATGTTTAGCAGCTTGACCGGCCAACTCCAAGCTTGAAATTGCAGCAGCATGCTAATAGCTTCGCAACACCGCAATTTCTCCAATATTCTCTCACCCACATGTGGAACAAATTCCTCGTGCTTGCCCATCACACTTGTGTGCCCTATGTCTGGTGCAGGGTCTTCGAGAGAGAAATGGAAGACCATGTGAAGCTGATGAGCTGATCAATTCATCTCTTCTTCCATCCCACCTCCTCAGAAGCAGGCACCTCCTGCTGGCTGGAATTCCAGCAGGCATGGGGGGGGATTTGGTGTGTGGTTGGCTTGCACCCATGGGTGGAAGCAGCATCGCAAGGCGTCGTAGCTCATCTACGACCACGAGTACTATTAGACGTAGCTTAGTACTCACGTGCTGTGCCTAATGGAGCTAGGACCCCCTCCCGAAATAGTATTTGACCTCCCCTCATGTTTGCGCCTCCTACCACCGGTGGCACCATCGTTATCAGTGAATGAATCCCCATGCCCATGCTCCCATGCATGTGCATACTGCTGATCACCGTAGAGGTTTCAATCTCTGAGTCACGGTTTCTGGGTACCTCACCATCGCATGTGTCCATTCCACATTCGTGCGGCACAGGCTGGAAGAAGAGAAAGAGAAAGGTGCGACACACAGGTGATGAGATCTGAGGTATCATAACTCTGATTCCTGCCCCATCCCCTCCTTCTATCCTACTCTTGCCCTCCTACCCCCCTCCCCCCCGCCATCTGCCACCAGAGCAAGTCCTGCTGGACTTGCAGCAAGCATGGGGGCGGAATTTCCCTGGGTGGGTGGCTGGGGGGGAGTGCAGCTTGGCCTACCGTGTGTACTGCGATGCCCAAGGCATGGTGACCTACATGTGAGAGAACCAACTCTAGCTGGTCTTGCATCCCCCATGTGTGCACCAACTCTTGCCAACCTTGACCTGGGTGCCTCTGTTTTCCTTCTCGCTCCACCATTCTGCATGCTCTGTATTTGCAGATTTTTGGTGCATTTCAGCGAGTGTGAACCCTTGCGGTACATGCAATCCCTTGATGCCCTCTGTGTGGTTATTTGTGTTTCTCTTGCACCCCCTTTCTTCAAGAGCCACTGTTAACACTGTTTGAGACTGACCGAATGCTTTGGCGATCTCCTTAGGATGGTCCCTACTGTTTTTGAAGGCATATTGAGGTCAATTACCATGCTATGATGCGAAAGACGCGTCCTGCGTCCTGGACGCATGCGTCCAGACGCATGCGTCCGGACGCAGGACGCCTCAACAGGACCAGAAAGACGCACCAAAAGACGCAGTCCCGGGCAGGCAAAAAAAACCCCGGGCAGGCAAAAAAACTTGTTATAGGGCATGGGATGAGGGGGGGGGGGGGGGGAGGGGGGGGGGGGAAACGTTCCACACTTTCAAGGCAAACTTGGCCCCAACATCAAAATTTCCCCCAAATCTCAAGATTAAGGTGAGTCACGTATTGTCACACACATGTCCCAAGGTCACATACACAGTTTATCGTATCACTGAAGAACACGCATACTATTAAACTACCACCACAGCACTGCATGCAGGCAACCAGTCACTCATCCCCGTCCTCCTCGCTATCTCCTTCTCATCCTGGTCCTTGTACTCATCGACCATCATGTCGTCCTCGTCCACCTCCCTCTCCCCATCCTCCTCCAACATGTACCCCTCGGGGAGGGGAGGGGTGGGAATGTTCCCCTCCACTACCCCCGCCTTCCTCACTTCCCCACTTGGCCCTGCAACAACTGCACCCTCGTGGTGGCCGAGCACAGCCTTCCAGTTGTGCGCCACGAACACCAGGTCGCGCACCTTCTCCGACCCCAACCTGTTCCTGCGCGCCGTGTGCACCCCATCCCACGTAGCCCATCCCCGCTTGCACGGAGAAGCGGAAACGACCTGTGACACCGCACGGATTGCAAGGCCTGTCAGATCGGCATACTCCCAGCCATTCATCTTCCACCACGTCGCCATGTCCCCCTTCCCTGCCTTCAGCTGCGCACGCCCCTCTATCGCCTCCTCCGTCCCAAAGCACCCCCTGCACTCAATGTACGCCAGCATCCCCTCCTGCAGCGCCATCATCGTTCCAGTCCTCTCGCCATCCTTCTTCCAGTACTTGTCGACGAAGGCCCTCGAGCGCGACAGCCAGGCCTTCATCACCCTGGTGCACTCAATGTCCTTGAGATAGATCCCCTCCTCCTGGTTGACCGGGTTCAGAATCCGGCCTACCACGTGAAGAGGACAGGCCAAACTCTCGTCCCAACGCCGCCTCAAGTGCTCCAGCAACCCCTCCTTATCCGCATCGCTGAGCGGACAATCCGCACTCTCCAACAGCGTCGACAAGTCCTCCGTCAGCTGCAGCATCATGTCGTACATTGCCCCCATCATCCCCTTCGCCGGCCCATCCGTCTTCCTCATCACCTTGTACGGCAGCGCCATTACCTTCACGAAGGTATCCACCTTTGCCCACCACTCCACATCCAACACCGAAGCCTCAAAGTCTTTCCCAGTCAGCTGCTTCCTCCCCTTCTCCTCCCAATCCTTGTGCGTCACCATCGCCGTCAGCTGAGGGCGAATCTCACGCAGACGAGACACCGCTATGTACTGCGTCCCAAAGCGCGTGCCCGCCGGTCGCAGCGGCTGAAGCGACTTCTCCTCCCCGTGCAGCTCGGGAAGGCACGCGTCCACTTGTGGCTGCGAATGAACGAAATCATGTCGGTCGCCATAGGCACGACCTCCTGCGCCCAAGCCATGCTGCCGAAGTCCTCCAACAGCAAGTCGAGCACATGAGTGGCGCAGGGGACGTACTCACTGTGCGGGTACTTCTTCTGCAGCAGCTTGGCGGCGGACACGTAGTTGCTGCCGCCGTCTGTGCAAATCGTGACGACGTGCTCCGGTCCAACCTTCTCGATGACCGGCTGCAGGACGCTCACGATAAACGCCCCGCTTTTGGTCTCCGCCTTGCAGTCGACCGCCTCCTGGAAAACCGCTCCACTGGCGTTGATGCAGAGGATGTTCATCTGCGCACGCCCGCTCTTGTCCCTCATCATATCGCTTGCGATCGTCATGCCAGTCTCCTTCCACGTCTTCGTAATGGGCGTCAATCCCTTCTCAATCTGCTGCTTGCACGCCAGCAGCCCGACGCCTCCAACGTAACCACGCTTGGGGGGGACATAGCCGGGTCCGGCGGCGTTCACAGCGCGCAGCATGTTGAGGAAGAGGGGGTGCTGGCATATAGTCTCCCCCAAGCGCGTCGCCGTGATGAAGAGGCAAATCGAATCGTCGGCAGCACGCTTCGCCGCCTTCCCCCCCTCGCCATACCAATCCTCCATCCGCCCCTTCTTCGCCTTCGGTTCCGCTCCGCCATGGCCGCTCACCGCAGTAAGCGCCGCCTCGAAAGCCCTCTCCTTATCCTTGCGCGCCGTAATCTTTGTCTCCTTCCCGCCGCGAATGGCGTCTGAAATGCTCTTAGGAACCTTCGCGCAAACAACACCGCCATTGCGCCGCACGTTCGCGTCGTTCCATTCGGCGAGATGCTGAGTGCACCGACTACCACTGAAGGCGAACGATTTCTCGCACCAAAGGCACTCGCATTGCAATCCTTTTTTCGTCGGATCCTCGAATGTCCAAAAATGCCTATAAATATGGTGTTTAGGCTTTTGCGGTTTCTTCTCCACCCCATCACTAGTGAAACGCCGCGGGGGAGACTCGTCCTCGGCATGAACATCCCTAGATGCGTTAGATGACGTAGGGTTGCTTGAGGAAGCCATAAAGGAGCTACGCTATGCTTGTAGGCTAAAACCTCTAGGGTTTTCAAAAGAGAATTGGTTGGGTGGTGAAATGAGAAATGACTTGGTTGGATTGCTAAATGGGCTTGGTGGTAGGCACCTTGGTTGGGTTTTCTAGATGTGAAGTGGTTGAGAGGTATTTGGAATTCAATTGTTGCATGGGGGGTTATGAAATGTTGGGGGGGGGGCTGTTTTTCAATGTCGAATTGGGCAATGGGGGGTCAAAATTTCGCGATTTCGACAGTCGCGTCGAAATCGCGAGATTGAATTTCGTAATCGGGATTTTTTTTTTTTTTCGGGGCAGCCTGAAAAAATTTCGATCTGCGTCCTGCGTCTGGACGCGCGTCTTGCGTCCTAGCGTCCAGACGCTGCGTCCAGACGCAGGACGCAGCGTCCTCTGAGCGTCTTTCGCATCATAGTTACCATGGTAGCTTTAATGAGAGCGTAAACGAATGGGATTAAGTACCATCGGGCAAGTGAACATCTTCCATGCGGAGTCTGTAAGAACCTCCCATGTTGCATTAGTGCTGCTACGTCGAAGTAACTGAAAAAAATGAGATCCTACAGAAGAGATTAGGATAGGCACAGCTCCAGTACTCCGGTCATGCATAAGTCAGAGCACTAATTGGCATGGCAAGGGGTATGGCAACAGGTAAAGCAACAGGTACGTGAGTGAAAGGCGTTTCATTGGGGTTTATCAAGGGATAAGTGGAGTATACAGGTGAGTGGAGGGAGAGGAGCGTCGTTCATGTACACGCGAGGTGTGGGAAGGTTTGCAGTTGCTGGGGGTCTTGCTGGGAGGGTTGCTCTGTTCTGTGTGCAACGTCTCGTGTGCAGCGAGCCGGCCCGGTTCTGGCCTGTGCTCGTCAACATTTCAGAAACCCAAAACTCCACCCTTTTTTCAATTGTCATCACGGAACCGTACCATCCATTCGTAAACATAGAAACTGAATATACGCATATGTAGGCTAAACTAGGTGAAGGTGTTGCCTGAGGTAGCTTATTATCCCCTTCCATCCCTTGCATGGCTCACATCGGAAGGAGTTCAGAGGAGCAAAACGCCATCCACAACGCTCCCCTCAAGGTGCTATCGTGTCCATGGACCTAGGTGTAGGTGGACAACACTTGGGCTGCAACTGCAAGGGCTACTTCTTCGCACATAATACCCAAAGCACCTGGATTCATCAATACCTCATTTTCTTTCATTCTTGATCCCATTTATAATGTTCCCCACTCGTCCTATTCCACTCCCACCAGCAATCTGCCCATCGAAGGCCTAACTGGATCCATTCCAAATTCCATCAGTGCCTTGGACATGCTGAGCTATTTGTGAGTAACAGTAGATATGCTATGGGTGGGAACATGAACACATGATTGTGAGGATGTGGATGTGGTTGCATAAGTGAGTATGAGAAAGAACTGACGAGTTTTCTACATATGGCCAACTTGTGATAATCCAGGGTTGGCCATCAACTGCCGATCAGTGGCTGGCTTGATATGAGCCGAAAGATGGCCCCGTCAGGTTTGTGGCGACCATGTTGAGTGGAGCTTCCGGTGGAGGACCATATCGAACCACTATTTTTCAACGAAATCACGACTCAGAGAGCAACTTCACAAAACACAAGTACTAAACCAGCCTCCACACTACATTAAACTGCACTGCGACAGGAAAACCCGACAAGGAACTCACAAGAGCAATGTGACAATCAAAACCCCCTACAAGACACAAACACAAAATCAACACCCAAACCACACTGAACTGCACTGCAACTAGATGTTGAGTGCAAAATGTGGTTTGCACGTCAACCTACCGCATATTCGCCGACGATAAAGGAAAATGAATCATTGTTTTAAGGTAATTTGTGGGGTGTGAGGAGCGCATTTGTGTGCTTGACATTTGTGCGTTTACGGTTTGTGAATCGCCTTGGCGGTTCATAAGTTATGTGCATTTTTGTGTGTGAGTGCAATTTATGAATGTTCATGAATGTTCATGAGTTTCCGTGAAAGCGCATGAAAGTTTATGAGTTTTGGTAAGTTCGCGTGAGTTCGCGATTGTTCATGAGTCTGCGTGTGCGCTCATTGTTTCTCATGTGTTTTTGTGAGTTTTCATGAGAGTTCATGAGAGTTGATATTTTTCGTGCATTTTAATGAGTGGCGAGTGGTTTTACCACTTTGACTTTTTGCGCTGGTCAAGGTCAACTGTGCGCGAATCTCAGGGACCCGCGTGTGGGGTCCTGACACGCGCGTATGGCCCCTCAGGCCTCGTGCGTGCGCCTCGCACTGTTGCGAGCGTGGCAGGGCCCACGATCGCAACAGGACAGGGGACATTACTGCCCTGTCCTCGCGCAGGACAGCGCACGTCAATGCGCTGTACAGCACGACCCAAAAGTCGGTCATTCATGATTGCACCCCTTAGGGGTGCGCGTGGGTTTCGGGGGGTGCCGAGGAATCCCGAAGGGTGCTCGGGGTTGACTCAAGATCTCAGTTGAATAACTGAATCTCGAGCTTTGACTTTTGTAACGTGGCGAACAGGATACTTCGCCGGAAAGTCGCGCGCCTAGCTGGACAAATTTGTTTCAGGTACAAAACGGTAAATTCTTACAACTGGAAAACGGTTTCCCCACATGAGACTTCATGAGTGTTAACGGGAATTCATGAGTGCTCGCGAGGGAAGTCAGCAGAGGCGTTTGGATGAAGTGTCACTTGAAATCAGTTATTCTAATGAAGTGGATCAAGCCAAATGCAGCTGAAGTTTGACAACCGTTTTACCAAGACAACATGGCGAAGTCTTATATTACAGTTTTATAACTGTTTAATGTTTGTCTTGTGTTAGTTCTGCTCATGCATTAGTAGTTCTATAATTGTGTGCTTGTGTTTCATTGTAATCAACTTTTTGGAGTGAATATTTGCTCTATCGACGTATTGACACGAGGAGCTTTTCTGCACACGCACCTATCGTTCGTCAACGCTGCGCAATTGAGGTTGGGAACGCTCTTAGTGCACACGACCGTTTTCACACTTGGGAAAATCCCTCTACAAACACGGACCCTTGGGTAGGGGCTGGCATTGCCAGGCACCCGAGGACCCTTGGAGGTGACGCCGTGGGGACTATCTAGTGTGTATTAAAGGTGTGCTTAAGAGTTTCCAGATCCCAATAGTAGTCAACACTAGAAACCCCAACCAACGAGGCTTTTAGGTTCTAGGGGCTTTTCTAGCATTGGCAAATTAGGAGGCCAGATTCATGTTTTTGGTCGGCCCATCAATCATCCCCCTCCCTTCACCCCACCATCCCTCCCCTCTCTCCCCACCATTTGTTTTGTTGGCTGCCTGCCCGAGCGTCAAAATTGCGTCAAGCGTCCAGACGCTAGCAATTTTATGCTGGCATCAATGTCGCCTGATGCATCAAATCCAGTTATCAGGCCGATGGGAGCCACAAGTCCGCCTGACCTGCCCGTGGCTGGCTTGAGCACCTAACATCTCTTCACAGGTTCATGATGAACGAACAATTTTCTCCAATTCTCACCGCACCTTCTCAGCATCATTCTCAAACGCTCAGTCAAATAGGAGTTGGAGTTAAGAAACGGCTCCGGCTTCGACAAAACGGGGTTCGTACATCTGACCAGCATGGCTCCAGCATCATGGGTTCCTGTTGCGGGGTTCCTCAGAGGTCGTGAACTTCCCGGGTTCGTTGCACGTTTACCTGCATGGAGCGGGCCAACATTGTTCGACCAGCTCCGGGCCTGGGTCAGTTTGTCATGGGCCAGCTCATAAAAAATATGATGGCACACTTTGCGATGGGTCGACCAGACCCAACCCGTGCATTAGAAACACAGATAGTCAACACCCTCTTCCTCAGTTTCATGGACAAGAGGGACTTTCAAGCATTTTAGGACAGGAGCAATTTTCCAGTGCGCATTGTTCATACCGTATAGTTCCGGCTAGAAGACCCGCCGGTAAGAAGGTCCCCCGGGACTCTTGAATGGGTAGGGGGACTCTTATTGTGGCCGATTTTGTGAGGACCCCCCCTTGGCCTCTAATCATCACAAGACCCCCCTTTTCTGTATACAGTTATAATTGATATTGTGAGTCAGCTTTTACTGGAATAAATCCGAATTATGACACGCTTTTTGTGTCAGACTCGAACTCTGACACAGATCTGACGCGCCGCACGCGCAAAATTTGCGCGAATTCGTTACGAATATAAGACCCCCCCACCCCAAATTGAGTCGTACACCCTAAATATCAGATTGATAATTGACAAATAGGTTACCCCGGGTCTTAAAAATTTGCTGCCGCCATAATGTCCACCCAAGCACAATTTCCAGCATTTGTAGAGAGTCCCCCGGGTCTTCTAGCCGGAACTATACGGTATGTCCCTTCAACTTCCTACTCCTCTATCTAGTATTATCAGCAGCCGTCCAGTGCCAATGCTTGGCACCTTTGGCAGGCCGACAAATTTTGAACCTTGACGGTTTTGCCAGGCCAAATTGTGCATGTAACAGAATTGCTAACCATCTCATAATGGAACCATCTCATGGGTCCAAATAGTGATCCTATTGATCACGCACGCACGCTTGCCGTAGGTACGTGCCAAGCAGCAGCGTATCGCACAATTCTTTGCCGCATATGTTAATGTCAGAGGGGGTGCTTTCTTGCCCTTGTTCGACGACCCCCGCGCGGTTCCGACAATGTGCGCACGAAGGTAAGAAAATCGCTCGCGCTGAGGCGAGGTGGCATGCGCCTTTCTTCCTGTGGGAAGCGACTTTCTGGTGCCTATATTCCTTAACATACTTTCTTCTCTTTTTCGATTCTGTATTTGAAAAAATTTAGTTAGAAAGATGTGGAGAGGTAAGTATCAACATGACTTGAAAAATCGCGAAGGTTGGCGTGGAATTGCTTAAACTCGTGCCGGGCCTAGCGACCCATTTAATAAAACCGACCGAATTTCGGATCAAGTCGACCCGACCTGACTGCCCCATTAC